AATGCCGGCCAGGGCACACCGACATCCATTTACGCCGAACATCATGCAATCCGCACTTCTTGACCACTGGAAGTCCCTGCCCCTTGACAAATACGATGGTACAACCGACCCAGATGAGCACGTGGATGTGTTTTTGACACAGGTTACCTTGAGCACCACCGATGATACCACGCTATGCCGAATCTTTTCGACATCCTTGAAGGGGCGAGCGCTGAGTTGGTTCACCCGACTCCCAGCCAATTCTGTCGACTCATTCGGCACGCTGGCCTCCCAGTTCACAATTCAATTCGCCACCAGCCGCCCTCATCAGCTAACCTCGTTGGCATTAGTTAGCATTCGTCAAGATAGAAAGGAGTCTCTTCGGACGTTCATGAGCCGATTCAACAAAGTGGCTCTCGAAATCTGAGACCTAAACCCTGTTGTGGCTCTACATCATCTCACAACCGCTCTAAAACCGGGTCCCTTTGCCAACAACATCTGCAAAAAACCGCCGACCGATATGGATGACTTGTGGCGACGAGTCGATAAATACATGCAAATGGAAGAATTAGCAGAGTTCCGCAATCAAGCCAGAATGGAGACAGCTGCTAAGCCGGAAAAGCTGACTGAAAACAATTTTCAGAGCCGTCTGAAAGAATTAGCATCCCGCGAGAGGCCCCCTCGTGGCCCAAGGTATTCACAATACACACCGCTTAATACCAGTCGGTCGACAGTGCTAGAGCAAGCGTTGACCTCGGAGGTCCTGGCCGTCCCGAAACGAGCTTCGACCCCTCCTAGGGCCGATACAACGAAGTCTTGTAGGTATCACCGCAATCGGGGGCATTCAACAGAAGAATGTGCGGCCTTGAAGGATAAGATTGAAGATCTGATCAAACAGGGACATTTGCAAGGTTTCGTCGACCGTTCGAACTCATCCCGAAACACCCACCGGTCGCGACGGGACGATCGGGCTGAACAAAGAACAGAAAGTCGTTCGTATCGAGAACGCAGTCGGTCTAGAGAAAGGCGAGAAGAGCCTTCAACGCAGCCTCGCCGGGTCATCAACACCATTGCCGGCGGCTTCGCTGGCGGCGGTTCGTCTTCGTCGGCACAGCGTAGACACTTACGGGCCGTTCGACATGTGCATGCCGTCGAAACTGTTCGTCGCCGCTTACCCACCATAACTTTCACCGAGGCCGACTTCAAAGGTATCGACCCATACCAGGATGATCCTATGGTAATTAGCGTTGAAATTCACAACTGCATTGTGCGCAAGACATTGGTAGATCAGGGGAGCTCCGCCGATATCCTTTATTGGAACACGTTCAAACAATTGGGTATCCCAGAAGCCGAATTAATTCCCTACGATGAACCTTTGGTAGGATTTTCAGGGGAAAGAGTCAAAACAAAGGGTTATATCAAGTTGTCAACCCGGTTTGGGTTTGAAGGAACCGAATACAGAGACGTTTCGGTCAAATATGTGGTGGTTCATGCCAACACGTCCTATAACATTTTGCTCGGTCGGCCGTCCTTAAATCAGCTCGGTGCAATCGTCTCCACTCCGCACCTGGCTATGAAGTTCCCAGCCGACTCAGGACAAGTAATCACGGTTCACGCTGATCAAAAAACCGCGCGAGAGTGCTACTTTGCTAGTTTGCGATTACCGGAAATGAAGCCCGAAGTAACAAAACCAGCAGGGGTACATTCGGTATCACAACAGTCGACCTTAGACCTCAACCCCCGGATTTATCAAGATGAGAGGGTCGAGCCTATTGAAGACAAGCAACCCATCCAGGTGGGGGTGTCCGGAGCTCAAGTCACCTACCTCGGGACCAATTTATCCGAACAAGAGCGCCTGGCCCTTAAGCAAGTGGTCCTTGAAAACAGTGACTTATTCGCCTAGTACCCGTCTGATATGCCCGACATTGACCCCAACTTTATTTGCCACAAGTTATCAGTGAGCAAGCAGGCAAGGCCGATCGCTCAACGGCGCCGGAAGGCCGGAGAGGAAAGGAAGGCGACGATCGAAGCTGAGGTGGAAAAGCTATTAGATGCTCGGTTCATCCGAGAAGTACATTATACAACATGGTTGGCCAATGTAGTCATGGTCAAGAAACCGAACGGGAAGTGGCGCATGTGCACCGACTACACCAACTTGAACAAGGCATGCCCTAAGGATGCATATCCATTGCCCAACATTGACCGACTTGTTGATGGGGCATCCGGCCACAGATTTTTATCCTTCCTTGATGCATACTCAGGATATAATCAGATCCGTATGCACCCTCAAGACGAAGAGAAGACAGCGTTCATTACTAAAACGACAAACTACTGCTACCGAGTAATGCCGTTCGGCTTAAAAAAC